TATATATTTATTCACCCAAACCAGTTGGTGTATCCATATACCCAACAGAGGGGTATATCTTTCATGTTGGGACGACTCGCATATGTCTCCTCAATAGTCTGGACACAATTGTGCACAAGTTCTGTGTTAGGTTCAGGTAATAATGTGGCAGGGTTTAATGAGGTAGATTGGGTTAGAGTAATCATTGGGTTATGGGTAAGAAGCCCCTGATATTTAAGCATCCGGGGATTAGTTAACCACAAGTGGCCCTTCATTTCCAAGACCGACTTAAGAGCATGGGGGGTATAGATATCCAGATGCTGCCCAAAGGTCAACTTGGTGGCTTCCTGGGTCAAGATAGCAGTCCCAGCCACCGCCTTAAGGCAAGTCGGCCACCCCTTGGCTACGTTATCAAGCTGTTTAGAAAGATACGCTACAGGGCGGTGCCATGTGCCAATAATCTGGGTGAGGACTCCCACAGCAACATTTTGCTTAGTGTCAACAAACAACTGAAATGGTTTTTCCAGATCCAGGAGACCTAGGCTAGGGGCCTGCAATAGGGCTTGTTTGAGGGACTGGAAGCTAGCCTCCTCAACCTTATTCCATGGGAGTGGCCTCATACAGAGGCTTTGCGATGAGGCTAAAATTAGGAATCCAGATACGGCAAAAGCCAGCTGCTCCCAGAAAGCCTCGCAATTCTCTCCTGTTTGTCGGTACAGGGAGTTGGCATATAGCCTCCTTCCGTTCATGGCCCAAAGTCCTCTTCCCTTGCTCAATATCATAGCCCAAATATCTGATTTTGGGTAGGACTAATTGTGCTTTCTTTCTAGAGGCCTTGTAGCCTAGACTCTGTAAGAGTGAGAGCAGTTCGCTCGTGTTGTTTCAGCAAGTGTCTTCGGTGTGCCCTGTCATCAACAAATCATCCACATACTGCAACACTACATCCGGGGCCAGTATGTGTAAAGCCTCTAAATCCTTGGCAAGAGCTGCCCCAAAGAGAGTTGGTGAGTTTTTAAACCCTTGGGGCAACCTAGTCCAGGTGTACTGCTGCTTTCGACCCATATTGGGGTTTTCCCACTCAAAGGCAAACAAGTACTGGCTGTTTTCGTGTATGGGTATAGTAAAGAAGGCATCCTTCAAATCTATGACAGAAAACCACTGGGCAGCCTGAGGAATGAGGCCCAATATAACATATGGGTTAGGGACCACTGGATGGATGGTCACTGTGGCTAGATTGACGGGCCTCAAATCCTGAACAGGATGAAAATGACCATCCCCCTTCAGGATGGGCAATATGGGGGTGTTCCAGGGCGACTCGGTGGGTACCAGGATATGATGCTCCAAATATAAGTCAATAATGTCCTGGATAGCTTGCATGATGTGGCGGGGGTACGCCCTTTGTCGGATTCTCACAGGCGCCTTCATCGGCACTTCCTCAATTAAGATAGGCAGATGGTGTGCCGCAAAGCCGGGGGGGTTATCTTCTGCCCACAAATGAGGAACTTCAAACTGTCTCCATTTCTCCTCGTCAGCACACCCGAGATCTCTAGCCACCATTAGCCACCAGGATTCTTCCAGAGGCACAGACAGGGTTACCTTTCCATACCCCAAATTCATGGAGCCATCTTCATTAAAGGATAACTGTGCCCGCATCTTACAGAGTAGGTCCCTCCCCAACAACGGGACAGGGCAATCAGGCATGTAGACGAACTGGTGCGTTATGGCTTGTCCCTTTAAGGTACACTCGAGGGGTTCCAGAAAGGGACGCTGCAGTGTGTTTCCCGTTGCCCCCTGTATATTAATGGTTTCATGGGATGCCTGGGCCAGGGGTTGAGTCAGAACTGATCGGGTGGCCCCTGTATCTACTAAAAAAGTGACTGGTTTGCCTCCAACATTTAGCCTGACCATAGGTTCAGGGAGGCTTTCTGACCCGGTCGGCCTCAATCCCATTCTTCTACTTGGGCTAAACCCACCAGAGGAGGCCTCCCCAAACCTCTTCTGCTATCCGGTTGTCCCCGACCCCTTTGAACAGGCCTCCTCTGGCCATCTTCCACTACAAAGTGGAGGTTCTGTGGGGGCCCTTCCCTGTCTCCGGGCCCCTGCCCTCCATTACGCTCAGGGCACTCTCCTTTCCAGTGTCCTTGTTTTTTACAAAAGGCACACTGGTTAGGACCAAGTTCCCATCTACCCCCTCTTTGCTGACTATTACCCCTGCCCCTTTGCATGCCGGGCCCCGCGCCACATGGTGGGTTAGGCCGTCCTCTTGGTGCCCACATCATGGCTGCTGCCATTAGCTCAGCCTTGCGCTGCATCTTCTGATCCTTCTTCCTATCCTCTTCCTTATCCCTGTTTGCAAAGACCTTATGGGCCACCTCCATCAGTTCACTCATGGGCTTTCCCAAGGCGTCTTCGAGTCGGTGTAATTTACGTCTTATATCCAGAGCACTCTGGGAGATGAATGCCATTGTCAGCATCCTAGCATTCTCGGGGGCTGAGGGGTCTATGGGGGTGTACATGCGATAGGCATCTATGAGACGGGTGTAAAATGCTTCCGGACTTTCAGTGGGCTCTTGTAATACTAAAGAGGGCTTTGACATATTAATAACAGGCTTCCCTGCGAGGCGAATGGCTCGCACCACAAGGGACTGATAGTCTCTCAGCCGTTCTTTTCCGTCATCCCTATACATATCCAAATCTGGATTACTAGAGGGATATTTCTCTCTCAGAAGGTCCTCCATGGAATGATACGGTGTAACATCGGGCTTCAGTATTTCGGTCACTGCATTCCTAATCTTCTCCCTTTCCTCAGGGCTGAATAATGTCCCCAAGAGTTGTTGCATATCCAGCCAATTGGGGTTGTGGGCATCCACTATGGTTTTCACTAAATCTGCCACTTCCGTAGGTTTTTCACTAAATGGGCCGTAATGAAGTTTCCAATTCAGTAGGTCTGAAGAGGTAAAGGGTACACGTTGGAACAGGGACAGCGTGACTGACTCAGACGGGTTCTTGGGGTTGATTGCTAGTTGATCCACCTGTCTCAAGGGGGCCACCAAGGAAGGCTGCTCTGTTTTTGCTCTGGTCCTAGCCGCGACTGGTTTGGTCATGGCTGAAGTTCCTGGTGTTGGTGCCGATGGGGTAGGGTCCAGCAACCCTTCTATTGGAGTGGAGGCTGATGGTTGGGATCGGTCCGCTTGGACCGATCGGTCCATTCCCTCAGATCTAGGAGGGCTCTTTATGTATGGGGATAACCAGTCCAATTGGGCCATAAAGTCCGATACCCCTGAGGATTCCTCACCTTCCGACCCATCCTCAAACCCACCTGGTGGCACATACAGTGGAGGATGAGGGGCTTCCTCTGGGCAACTAGGCAGCACCTGTACGGTCTTTTGCAATTTCTTAAGGGTAACGTTTCATGACAATAAAGCCTTGCACCTTTGCATTTTGAGCTATCGTAGCCAAGGGGGTGGGTGGTTTTAGTAAGTCAAGCCACACATCTGTGTATGGAACCTGATCTGGATGTCCTAAGGTTGGGTGAAAGACTAGGCGATGTACCTGTACTGCAGTAGGGATGTCAAGCGTGCCTACTGGGGGCCACCCAAACCCGAATGTGGGCCACTCTGTCTCACAAAACTTTCGCAATTTCTGCCTACTCCACTTACACCCATAATCCTGAGATTGATATGCCTCCTTAAAATGCTTTAGCATAACCTCCAGGGGAGTCACAGGTTTGCTTTCTCCACCACCCATGAGCCTCCCACCTAACCAGACAGGATAAAAAGGGAAAGGGGTTGAAGAGGAGGGTAAGGGGTCCCATCTTCTTTGGACACAGTAAGGAATCCGACACACACACACACACACACACACACACACACGACCCAGGGAGCCGGATGCGCACGGTCTCCGATGGGAACTGCGGACGCCACTCACTTTCTACTGACCCACGGTGCTGGATACTCACAGCCACCAATGGGAACTGCAGTAGTCTTTCTTCACACCCAGGCTTGACAATTCTGCCCTCCTTACCTTTCAAGAGAGGGTGATCAGTCCTCTCCTCCGTCCCTGTTTACAGGGAGGGATTATTTTCCCAGTCCAATACTTGCCTGCAGGCGTCCTCTTTTTTCCACAGCTGGCCAGCCCCAGTCCCGTTCTTCTCACCTCTCCCCAATGGTTCTTGGGAGTGTCGATCGCCGACAACAGCAGCCAGCCTTCTGGGGAAGTCCCTCGGATTCAAGGGTCCGATGGCGCCTGGGATGTTCCCTGCAACTTACTGATCCATGGCTGTCGGGATGGACCCCACAGAGGGCCTCAGGGCCCCTCTGGTCCTGCCGCGGTCACCATTGAATGTAGCAGCAAATCACATTTCCAAAGCAGGACACGAGACCACGAGAGGTGGAAGAATACAGGTTTATTTGCGCAAAACGTTCAGAGCATTAACATGACAAATTCTGAACCCCCAGCTCTCTTAGGGCAGTTCTTTTATACCTATGGTGACTTCAGCCCAAGCCTGGGCATTCATCTTTGACATATTTACCAAATATGGAATACGTGCTTACAAGACAATACAGAAAACTTGCAAAACATCTTTTTCCAAGAAGGAAGCAGAAAGAGGATATGAATAAGCATATTTTGCCTCACTCTGTTATCTTACACCCCCAGATACTTTCCATGCCCACCCTTGTTTACAGCAACAGTTACATTGTTAGTTCCTCAAACATATAGATTACTTAAAATTTAAGCAAGCAAAAGCAGAGACCCTCTGACCTTCTTGTAGTTGTGCCTTATGACCTATGTAGGGTACTGATATGGTTTAGCAAGGCTATCCTTTTATATGTCTTTTTGATCCTGCTTCATTCCCCCCTTTGAAACTTCACCTAAATCGATAGATTACTATGCAGTTTCATATTCCTGGTGGGGAGGATATAACGGAAGAAGTTCTTCGTAGGTGTTCGCATTGCCCTTGTCTGCTGGTAGGATTATTATGCTGGTGTCTTCTTTCAGGTTAAGTAGTGCAGTTTGTTCTTCTTTGGATAAGTTGCTTTTGGGTGGTTTGCTAGTGCAGAGGATGTTGGTGATTTCGAGTCTGATTTTGTTAGCATCATCAGGGTTGGTTTTGGTCAGGCTGGTTTAAACTCCGCATATGATGGTTTCTGTGGGGATGTGTTTGGGAGCGACAGCAAAGTTGAATCCTTGATCTGACCAACCACTGCCTATCCAATACATACTTCACCTACAATGGACAAAAATACAAACAAATAGAAGGAGCACCCATGGGATCACCCCTCTCACCTGTCATCGCAAACCTCTACATGGAACACTTTGAAACACAGATCAATTCCGTAGCCGAGACACTCAAAATGCTTAGCCGATGAACAACACCAAAAAACTGAACTACACACTCTCACCAATGTACTAACAGCCAATGGATTCCAAAGAAAGAAGATTACCCACCTAATCCAAAAAGAAACCCCAACCAAAATCCAAGACAGAGAACAAGAAAA